AACCGTGTGAAAAACATACAATCAACTATGAAACAATGAAACATGGCACGGAAAAAATAAACCACATGGTTTGTTCACAGGGCCAACTTATTTTTACGATTTTCATTGTTTAAACTGATTTCATACATTTGGTTGTATTGGTTTGATTAAACAAATAATGTATTGACGTACTGAAATCAAAGAAATAGAGTTTCAATGATTTGGCCTCATACTACCAGACTTGTTAGGTCTCAAGTCAAAAGCACCAGAACAGACGAACGGCGATGCGATCTTGGAAGCTGTGAGCCCTCTCTTGGAAGCTGGAGACGTGCAAAGAATGGGTTTCGATCTAATATCATGTATCTTAGAACCCCATGTGCCACACATATCTACTAGGCCCCCCTAGTAGACAAGGCTCCAGAAGATGCCGTGCACAGGCCGTGCCGAGTCTACCTCCAGGTGTGGTTGACTGGACCGACCTTTGGACCTTTTGAGTTAAAACAAAAGACGCAAAACATATACTGTATATATATATATAAATTGCTTGGTTTATATATCAAATTGATGGTGATACCAATCAAACATATATATGTATGTTTTCCAATCAAACAACAACGTATATAATCAAATACACTGCATATGCCATATAATTCAACAACCCTGTTTGCTATTCTGCGGCAGCATCCACACCAGCCAAAGACACGCCGCCGAAAATCAATCAACATGTTTCCACAGGGAGGCTGAGAGCAAGATGTGCCACCAAGCCTTTTGCAAGACAATATACAATCTTGATGAATCTTTGCAAAGCACAGCTTAGTGGCATGGCAACCAGGTGAGAAGCAAGATTGTTTTGTTTGGACAGAGGTTCCGTGGCACCAGATCTAAATTAGGATTATATATTAGTAGGTGGGTGCAAGGACAAACTCGACTTCCCAGTATTGGATGTGAGTCAGGTGAGCACATTTAACTAACTTGGCCCGAACAGCTTTCTCATAGACCACAGGCTTCAAGGCAGAGTTATTATTTCATTTGTTGCCCTCCCCAAGATCTGACTCTCAGCTGGGACATGGATACTCCAACTAGGCACTAAATTGGGCGGGTTGGGGGTTCTAACCAGGCACAGAAGGGCTATTGGCGAGTTACCCCAAGGGCATCAGCTCCCCTGCGGACTCGTGTGCGTTGCGCGACTCGTGCGCGACTCACCTGAGGTCTTCAACGGTGTGGTCCTCCGTCCCACGCCACGCGCAGTGGCAGAGCGGGGAGGGCCCACCTTGGCCTTCACCCGGCCTGGGCAGGTGGAGATGGGACGGAGGGAGAACTGGCTCCAGTGGCTGAAAGTCGATCACATGGGAGGTACCAAGGGACGACAAACTCATAGTTCACCTATGTTCACCTTGTTTCAGGTCCCTCACATACCGCATACAAGGGGATGGTATGGTTCCACGAGCCTGTAAGAACAGACCGACATGAATGCCCGGTTCAAGCAACCAAGGTACCCGTAATAAAAAAACCATTGCAGTTCAAAGTTACACCCCTATTGACTCAAGAGTTTTCCAGTATCCACGCGAGACTTTACCTTTGGAAGAAGAGCTAATCACACCCTGCCCTATCTTTCCAGCCACTGAAAGCACGGTCACCCCTTCCCACCATCCCCGACCATTCCCTCGTCTTTGGCGATCCATGGGCTGCGGAACGAGATAGAACTCAACGGAACACACTCCCATGAAAACGTGACATGGAAGTGGAAAATCCCAGTGGTGGTGAAATTCAAGTGGTCTTCCAAGGGACCAGGCAGTCACCACCTCCATAGAACGTGAGGAGCAGTTTTTGCACCCCGGTGACCTTTTTGCGAGGTAAGCCTGGGCCTCAAATTCGGGTGTGTCTCAAAGCATGAAAGGACTGGATGTTCCCTCTGCTAAACCGGGTACTGTATTCCTTTATAGGTTCCTCTCATTCTTAGTATTGCTTTGATATCAGCAATGGTCTAGCAGTCTAGTACCAAATATGAGCTGTCATCCCCCACTTTCTTCATCGTTCGTGCGGTCCCTGGTCGTCCTGGTCACGTTCATTTCTGTTTGCCTCTTCTCCGACCTCTTCTCATCTCTTCTCTATTTTGAAGATTTTTAGAAGAGGGTCTTTGGTCTAGTGGAGTCGGAACCTGGTGAAATCATGTGGAATCAGAATCATCCGGAACTCATCCACAACGGCGCCAGGGCCTCTACTTTTGGAATCTCTGCAGCATTAAACCGTGTTTTCATTTGTGCAGAAAGCTACCCTTCCCTTGTGATTGACGCACCTCAAACGAGGCCCCCGACGATCCCCCGACCCCTTGCTGCGGAGGCGCAACCGAGTCCCAACAGATGATCGGTTGCGACCACCAGCGTAGATGATCGGCGCACGCCGCCTGTAGACACACCCAGGCGATTACCAATGGATCATCGACCCCCATTCAAGCCAGTTACTTGGCAAAGGGATCCTCAACCTCACTGTGGACGGACGTGCACCTCAAAGCCCCATTCAGTAAATGGACACTTGTTGGGCTCACCCCACTTGAGAGATCTGGTGGTTCCAAATGAATCCAAATGAAAGGATTGACCATGATTGACCCAGACACCTCCTCCAAGGTATATCTACCCTGGTTCTCCTGCAGACACCTTCAGCTTTGCCGATAGCCGTGCCATGAGCCGCTGGGATCGGACGAAGCCGAGACGAGGTCCTCGGGTCACGACCGGTTTCGGACCGATCGGAACGACCGTTTTTGGCTGGATCGGATCAACTCGGATCAACCAGACATTTGCTGTAGGGCGGTGCAGGATCAACCTGGCCATTGATTGAAGACAGATGCCGATGCAGGCAGTTGATGCAGGTAGAAACCATCTTCAGAAAGTTGGAAGTAACCTTGAGGTTGGCTGCGACTTGCATGGAACGAAGCTGTTTGAAGAACCTATTTGAGCGAAAGCATCACTGGTCCTGCTGCGAGAACTATAGAGAACCCCTCCATGGTGACCCCAAATAGAGAGACTTCAAGAGAATCGATCATGGGTGGCTTTTCCATTTTTTCCTTATTTGATCTTATTTGTGTTTTTCCAAAAGAAGAGCACAGACACCTCTATGAATTGGGCTCCGCTCTTCTCTCCACCCAAACTCGTTCCTTCGACCGATTCGACCGCGGCCGATGTTGAAGCGCTGAGGGAATCTGGGGTGGCTGGTTCAGCTCAACAACGAGCCAACGCCCAGCATCGAAGCTCCGTCAGCACGCACGACCAGAAGCGGTTCGTTGAGGTTGGTCTTCTTCCCATCACTCCTCCCATCCAACCTTTGGTTGGTTGACCGCTTTGGAAATACGGGGAACCTCCGCTTTACACGGCAGGCCCCCCGACGCGAGACGACGGAACGCGGAAGGACGGTCGTAGACCGAGGAACGCCTGCTGGAGATCATCCACTCGGGCGCCCTGAGCGGCTGCGAGTGGCTGCGCTGTCACGTCATGGACGCTGAGGGCCGCTTGAGCGTACGGGCCTTGAGGCCGGTGACGGGTCAGTGGGATCGCCGGTGATGGGTCTGTGACGGAAAGGTTTTGGAACGCGAAGACATAAAGGAACCACGAGTCTTGAGGTCAAAAGGGTTTTGGCTGGAGACAATGTGATTCAAGCAGTCCAGCTTGACTCTCAGGATTTTGTGTCAGGAGGACCAGGAGGACATGGCCAACCCTTTGTTCTGCCTGGGATTCGCACTTTGAGAGGCCATAAACACGATGGAAGCCACTAACCTGCTCTGCTCAGAATTCTTCAAACTTGAGAGCCACATTACTTCTGAGTGTTGCCTCCAAAGCCACCTGAAATACATCGTTTTCATGTTCTTTAAAGGTAGTGGATCCTCCAGAGGAATGGTCAGGATTCATTTTCTGACTGTGTGAACGGAGGGCCGATGTGTCAGGCCAGATTTCGAATTTTGGCCAACTGTGGAGATTGTGTGCCTTGGAGATTGGAACTCAGAGCTAGCTTTTTGTTTGGGGTTCAGAACGCTCAGTGTGTTGAGGTGCCCATGTTTATCAGGGAGCATAAATTAAGAACCGAGATGGCATTCTATGCTGAGAAACTACGGACATGTTCATGCAGTGTTTTGGCTCTTACAAGATAAACTGAACACATATGATATTTAAGGATGTATATATATATATGCAGATGCATGATATGAATCGATATGGTGTATCATATTACACGGAACAACAATAGTAAATGATATATGTGATTTGTCAAGTGATACGTCATATTCATCTCAGGAAGAGACCCACCAAGCTGAATATCGCTGAATATCCACCTTTAGAAGATGGATGCTTCCTCCACGTTCGCCAGTGGTTTTGTGTCCGGCTTTTGCCACCGAGGCGCCGGAAGAGTGAAGGTGACCAGTACCAGTCACCCACCTGGGCTCGAGTAGAGCATATGCCCTGAGACCGGTCAACTGAGACCGCGCTGAGAGATGCGCCGACGCGCTGAGAGATAGGAGACGTCTCGCGGCGAGGACGACCAATGGCGCGTCCCAAGGGCGTGAACGCGCTTTTGCAGCCTCCCAGCAGGGCTGCTGAGAGCTGCGGTCTCTTGTTTGAGAGCAAATGAGAGAGGGGCATGGGCATTTTCCCGGGCTCTCGCTCCTAAATTGTGACACAACATTCGGCTGTGAAGTGAATTTGTGCACGATGCCACTGAGTGGCATGATGACTCGTGAGGATTGGTGAGAAAAGGGTGCGACTGGCCGGATTGCACAGTGCTTCTGTTGTAGTCTATCTGCATTCAACAACACTGGGAAGTCATGCATTCATGCAGCTCAGTTGCAGGCATGTTCGGTCTGCTGCTTCTTTTTGTAAGGTTATATGTGACTGCGCAGCGCGCCCGCAACAGTTTGGCATTTGGATACCTGAACAAATCCCTACTTGAACATCTTAAACATTCCTGCTTGATTCCTTTCTCTTTTTTCTGCATGCCTCCATACCATGCGACTGTTTGCCGAAATGGGCTGCCTCGAGGTCTCAACAAACTTTTGGGTGTCCTGATGCGGCCTGCCGCGGCCCCAGTGGAGGCCCAAACAACCTGTGACGTTGTTCAGCCCAAACAACGCGAAGCGTGTGAGCGGGTCGTTTCGACATGAAGATGAAGAGTTGGAGTGGTCCAGAGAGCTTTCTGGAGAATGTTAGTTCTGCTCAGCCTTAGCCAATCTCAGACATTCGAGCCATCCGTCAGAAGTGTTGCCTTCAATCACCAAATCTTAGCTGGTCAGGAACATCCTACCTCAACGGAGAACGAGCGAGACCAACAATCCGTGTATGTCGATGACACCAGAAAAAATGGGTCACTGCTCTTCTGGGCAAATTGACTTTTTTTGACTTTCTGAGTTTTTTCTGATGTGACTTTTTGTTGACTTTGACTTTTGGGATTGACTTGTTTTGACTTTTGTTTAATTTAGAAAACAGGCTCATGGCATGGCACGATGCCAAAGCTTCAGGTACAAAAGTGAAAGAGGCTGAAGCATTGTTTTTTTCGATTTGTTTCTTTTCTTTTTTTTTTTGCTGTTTTTTTTTTTGAAATTTTCGAGTGGTTGATTTTTTGTTTTAACATTTTTTAAGTTGTTTTTTGAATTTGACTTGTTTTGACATGTTTTTTTTTTTAGAATCTTTTTTTGACTTTTTCGAGCTGTGGTCTATGGTTGACTATTTTTTCAATTTGATTTTTTTTTCACTTTGACTTTTCCAGTTCACTTTTGTTTCTTTTTTTAAATCAAGGATTCTGGCCTTACCATATGAAAGTTTGTTTGTAACTCTTGCTTTGGCCAGAACGTCATGGACCAACAACCCGTGGTAAAGGGACAAGTTCTCAACATGTACTGTAAAAAGATATCGAAGACTTTTTTTATTGAACATAATTTTTCCATGTCCAGGTTGGACTTGCCTAGGGTATTGAACACACAGGCTGCGCAGGAGTTCCACAGGGTCCACGAGTTGCTCCCGCTCGCGCCCCTCCCGTCAGTGCGAAGTGGTCCGAACGCGGATCGCTCAGGCTTCGTGAATGCCATCATTGCCTGTGCGCAAGGGCGTCAATGGGTTGCGGCGCTCGTTTCGGGCCCATTTGGGGTGGCGTGGCGGGGAGAGTGGAAAGTCCTTAGGAGATACACCCCTGGAAGCTAAACAACATTGGTTTGTGGAGAAAGTAGCTGGAGCACGACCCTTGCTTGCGCCGAGTAGTGTTCTCATCGGTCCGTTGTTTTTATTGCACAATACTTTTCGTACTTTTGGCCTTCTACGCTATGCTACGCTACCTACTTTGCGTGGGGTGGGATGGGTTGGGATGTTAACGTTAAACCTGAAGGTTTTCGTTCCACGGTCATTTCCAGAATTGGCCGTGGTCATGGAAGGCAAGTGCATCCAGAGATCCGTAAGTTGGTGCTACAGCGCCATTAGCACTTTCAAGAAGACAATCATCAGCTTGCGCCACGGCGCAATAGGGGTCGGGAACCTAGTTGGAGCACCAAACCCGATGTACAGGTGTGTACAGTCAGGATTTAGAAGGAATGGCGCCAAACAGAGAAAGGCTTGGAGAAAGCGTCCTGCAGGTGATGCATGCTAAGTGTATCTAATTCGAGTGTGAACAACTTTGCTGTTGCATGTTTTCATGGGCCCGAGAAGTGAAACTAGCTTTTTACGTGTATAGCTGTTGGACTTGGACCTCGACAAGACCTGTATAGCTTCTCACATGGATAGGGTGGGGCCTGCAGCTCTGTAGTCTATGTTGATATCTGGTGGTGAGGCTCATGGTGATCTGCTTGCACCTGTCGTTGGCCCTGTGCAGTGAAGGATAACCCAACTTGGCAGATTATTCATGAAACGTTTCTGGTTTCTGGTCAGTTCAATGATGTTGTTCATATTTCATTATTGGCGATTGTTTGTTTAATTAATGATTTATCATTGAGTTATTGTCTGTTACTGTTCATTTTCCCTTTGTTTTTTGAATTATATACACTTGTTTGCCTGACGTGGCAGACCAGCACTTTCTTCGTTTTCTGAGCTTGCTCAAATGAGTTGATATTTTTTTGCAACTGTGTCCATAGGGACCCATGTTGTGAATTGGGGCCCTTTGATTAGGCACCCAGGGTGGATCAATCGTAGCTCATGGGTGGAACTGTGCTACTTGGAAACACTGCTTCTTGGACGATGCAAGCTGGAGGGTCCATGAGATTGCGGCACCATGGATGACCATCGAGAGTTGAGGCGAGTTTGTGGAGGGAAACAGGACGAAAGCACGAACCAGTTCGTTAGGATTTTAAATTGGGGCAGGAGTTGACCAACCATCCCCAAAGAGGAATATCAACAGACGCAAGAAACGGATAGTTTGAGATTCATCATGAAAACCAGAAAGGGTCTGACAACCCATGAGTAGTTGAAGGTGAAACCAAGAACTTAAACCCTGGAATAGGTATAAACCAATGGTTTCTCTGCTCTAATTGGGGTGTTTATTCTTATTTTTCAACGCCTGTTACACTGACCTACACTGACCTCCTCCGAGATGAATTGCCTGGAGCTCTTGTCAGAGGCCTTGGAGGCGAGTGCGGCGCCCAGACGGCGACGACGTGTTGACCGGTTGCTTCAAGAGCGCTGTGCATCGCCGTCGGTGAATCGGTAGGGATACGTGGAAGGCAACAAGTTTCAATCACATATAGGTAGCAAGGCACAGACGACTCCTCGCAAGCGAGGCGCCAACGAGTCCTGTTGAGTCCTGTTGGAAAGAATCGTTGAACCACCTGAGAAAAACAAGAGGACATCGTAGTTCACCCGACCTTTCCGCCACCTTGCGGCCCTTGTGTCCACCGCTTTATCTCAAGGTGTTGAGATTCACAGCGGAGTATTTTATCCGGTGCTGGCGGCACTGGCGCACCACGAGAAGGACCTGGCTTGATGGGTCTATCATGGTCTATGAGTCTATCTATGTCTATAGTATCTATTGTACCGCGATTCCTTTTTTAAACCTTTGCACAAAGTGTTGGGGCACTCTAGAAAAGGTATGTACATAAAAGAGCATCAGTAGTGAAAGATATCAAACTTAAAACCATGGCGAACACATCAAAAGTCTCACACTACAAATGGTCAATAATAGATGTACATAATTGCATAAGGCGCATAAGGTTGTTTCATACATAGATCAACTAAGTCTTAAGTTCTTCCAGAATTCCTATTCACTTTGTTGCCGGTTGTGTGTATATAGTCTGATTGAACAGATCCATCTCAGTCCCAGGATCACGAATTCCGGCGCCTGCAGCAGTCGATGCAACTCAGGCGGTCCATCTGTCGATGCACATAGCACATATTTCACAATGTGAACATGTCTTATTCCTACATGGCACATACTTCGGCACATACCATTGATATATTACACACGACTGAAAAAGATTGACTCTCCATGAATCCTTCGCACGAGGTTCCGCACAGAACGAGACGTTCTGCAGATCCAATCATGTAAAGATGCCGTGGTTCGGACAAAACAACAATGGATGCAGAAAAAGCACATGAATGAGGGTGTGGACGGTCACCCCTGCCCAACATCTTCCGGTCGTCAGCAGTAACTGATCTGGAATTCTGAGCACTGAAATCACGGACATCTCAGGTTGGTACTCTAAGTCGGTGAGGCCTGGCAGGGACAACCAGCCATCCAGCCATCCAGTCTCGCAGCGCCGGTCGCCGCCAGGCAGTTAGAGGTGGATCTCATCTCGCTCAGCTCGACGATAAGTGCCTCATGCCGATGGGAGTGACGGGATGATGCTTTTTGTGGGACTTCAGGTTGGATGTTCCACTTTTTGCACTCTGAATGGGACCAGAATCAGAGCGACAGTGGGAGGGTTGACTCTGAGGTTTTTGAAATAAACTCCTGAAATGTTCCTGATGTACCTTGATGTCAACCTTCGCAGTTTCTTTTTCTCTCGCTCCCGTTCCGCTTTTGGGGGGCTTTGAGAATGCAACTGAACCGCGAGAAAGACGATGGAGAGACTTCGCACACCAATAAAATGCAAAGTTCCTCCTCTGAAGTCCGCCGGAATATCACTTTGGAGTCCTGAAACGTGGTGAATCTAGGGGGGGCTGCTTGTCTCAGTTTTGTCTGGCCAATGGTTTCAAAGCCGTCGAGGGGCGCCCGAGCTTGGGAATGTCATGGTTTGCATGAAGAACACGCTTTCTTGGGCAGAGGCGGTGGTACAACCGTCGTGGCCATGTATTGAATATTTGGATGTATTTGGATACTTTCGAAGACCGGTACATATTTACAATCAAAATAGCTTCCTGCTCTCTACAGAGACTGAGATGATTGTGCCAGTTGAATATCACCGGTTGACACCGTTGGGCGTCCTCCCAAGTACTTTGGGCGTTTGTCGCGACTTCCTTCAGATCACTCGATCGGGATTTGCCTACCCAGGAGTTCAGTGGATAACCTGCAAGAACCTTTCTTGGGGATTGGTTTCCCGGGTTTCCGGACTAACCAACAGGCGGAAAAGGTTAACCTTGAAGAAACCCAGGGAAATGGCGAGTTGGCCCAAGTCCAAGCCCCGACATCCCACCCAGTTCCTTGCTGAATCAATCAGGACCACTTCACCTCCCTTTGGAAATGATGTAGGAACCAATGATGCACCACCTTTGGAAGCTCTAGACTCTATACACAAATTCAATATCTGTATATAATGGTGTATATATATATATACACATCAAGTTAGTGACTGTGGTAGGACCTTGACCTCAATCAACCAACCCCGAATTCTTGCCACCTCCATCTAAAGTGGCTTTTCCCAGACCTTCCCTCCAAGTCCAGTCAGGTGATGCTGGGGACTGGGATCGAGCCACTCGGATGAAAGAAAGCCTGGTGGCTTCATTCCTGGAGCAGCCTGGAGGCCGGTGTGGAGAAAGCCTCAGGCCGACGTGAAACTCACAGGCACACACAAACACTGGTGATCTCTGGTGATGGTCAGCCTCTGTCCGTGACTTCGATGGGACTTCTCTGGGGGTATGACCCCTTGAAAGCAAATGCCTCGAGAGCCAGACGGAGTCAAACTGACGGAGGAGTGACATCGGCGCATCTCCATGGATGCGGACATTTGTACGTCTAAGATCGTTGGACTTCCACCAAAGGGATCAAGGCCACACATGGCCATACCCAGAAGGACTCCCAGAAAGGCCCAGGTATGCTGGTATGTGGAAAACCAGCTAGGTGACACCAAGGCGAAGTCATGCCATGCGTCTTCACACCAGCGGTCTAGTCTACAGAGAGTGGTCTCCTCTATTATTTCAGACTTTCGTTTTGGCACTCTGTTCTCCACGGATTGGTAAAATCCAGGGATAGTTGAGTCACCTCAAGCCTGTATCCCTGGCGGGCTTGCCTGGTAGTGCCAGTGGATTGAACTTTCATTCATTTGATCCCTGCCTTTGTGTCAAAACGCATTTGGTTTGAACCCCCCCAAGGAAGAATCCCAGCAAGTAGATAAATGATGATAAATGTATGTTCACCAAGTCACTCTTTCTTGGAGTAGAAACTTTATCTCTCCCTCTCGCTCTATATCTCTCTTTGTTTGTGGAATTCCTGCACATCCTTAGCCACACACACAACATGGATTTTGTTTTACTGTACCCCCAAGAAACGATTTTTGGTCAAACCAGAAGACCAGCGTGCTCCAGGTGGTGAGGCACCCATACACCTCTGTTCACCTACTCAGGCCTTGCACCTTCTTCAGCACATGCAGCTTCAGTCCCAGGAAAGGGTGGAGGATGTTGCTATGACATGATGGTGTGGTTTGACAGAATAAATATGTAAGAGGGCGGAGGGCACCAATCATGTAGAATAGAGTGGAGAAGAGATGGAAGACGTAGGACGTGATCTCCGATTCTTCAGCTACGACTCCAAAATAGTAACTCTCTAAAGCGGACCAGGTAGACATGAAGCCCCTTATGAATATATTATACTATATTTCATTTTATTGCAGTATCCATTCTCAGGGATGTTTTCAGAACGGCTTTTCGTTTTCCCATGTTTTCCCTCAAAACTTGATCCAGAGAAGAGCATGTTGAGAATTGATATATATATATATAAACACAACAATCTTCCTTTCTGTTTGAATCCTTTAACACATTTATACATTATAGTTATATTATTTGTATTATGTCATGCCACGTGCTGGCGGGGGTCACGGAACACTACCGTTCCTCGTGGATACCAGGACTCCTCCAGCGTCGCGGACTCTGCCCTGGGCTTTGCTCGGAAAGGCCGGGTGCAGAAAATCCACAAAGGAAACGTGATCTC